CAAGTCAAATCTGGAGGAAAAAACCTCCCATTTACCAAATGTTCTCCATCATAGTGGCAGCTTGTTTCTTAGATTATTGCATTTCCAATTCCATGTAATTATAGATGCTATGAAGGACTATCAATTTCCTAGTTTATACAACTTAATTATCAGGATGCTGAGAATTTGAAATGAGAAAGCCCACTTCTAAGCCCCAGCAAGACCTAATACTTCACCAGAGTTTTAAGCTTAATACCATAACCTAATGCAAGCTTATAATTCATTAGTGGAGAGTTTTGTAGTCATGGAAACAACAGAAAAGAGAAAGTTAGAGCCTAAACTCTGGATGATTTAGCAGCCCATCAGCTCGAATGAGGGTGGGGACAGCACAAGCACTACACCTTGCTCCAGCCTGAGCTGATGTCATTGCTGTTACACGTCAACAAGGGGGAATTAACTTCCTTGGCCACTTTAGCTGTTTCCCTACAAAACACGCGCTGAGCATCAGGGGAGATGCTTTTGCATTAAATTTCCCATGAAACAGAACAAAAGACGCATTCTCAGACTCTTCTGCTTCTTTCCTTGGCTTAACAAATGCTCATACAGAAGACAGCAACATGTGGCTTGTCCCATCCTGCTGTGCACTCTCACTGGTTCTTCTTTGCTCCTTTCAAGAACAAACTAACTAATGAACTAAACTACAGGAACATACTGCACTCAATGTATACACACACATATTTGTCCATATAGAAAGGAGCACACTTGGATTAGACTGGTGCAGACTGGGATGCCTACACAAAACATCGCAAGAGCCACCAGTGCTGGAGTAATGGGCTGGACCACAGGCATTACTGAGGATTCACAAGGTCTATACAGATCATTTTTCAGCCATGTATTCCTTGGTGAAGTTACATCCTAGCAAGACTTCCTAGCAGCAAGAACACTGAATATAGGCAAAGAAGCAGAATGCTGTTTATATGTACTCATTTATCATTTATTTTCATGACAGCCATGTCACTATGGTGAACTGTGACATAATGCAATATATAAAAATGGAAATGCCTTTTTTACTTCAAAAGCTAAAGTAGTTATTGAAAAAGTAGCTAGGAAAAGAGTTCTCATCATTCTCATTGCTACTAAAAAGGCATGGAGGCAAACAGGATGTTTCATAAAAATATAAATGGGGAGGGTGATAACGCTCTACCTGGGAGTTAAATATGGACTATTTTATGTCTTTAGTTTACTTTTCCCCTCATTTCCTCTCCTCCTCCCCTTGAACTTGTGCCATATTGACCCTTTGGGTTAATAATAGTAAATTCATTTAAAGGATATTCCTGAAAAAAATAATTGTGCCATATACAAAAAGGATTAGAAATGCCTTTCTGCAGAAATCATGTGGAAGAACACAGGAAACCCACTCCTGAAGCCCGCTCTTGTGCTAAACTGCTTTGCTCATCACATAGGAACGATGGTATCAGGGTGCTCCTGAATTAATTTGGGTTACAGATAACAGAAGTGGTGTGTCAAACAAAGAGTCCTAGGCAATTAGTAAAACAGAATTATGTTTCCTAATCCTAGCAGGAGCTGGGTACTTGGATCCCATGCCTCTATTAACACCCTGCAGGCTCACAAAACTGATGAGCTTGTTCTACTCAGTGACTCACAGATTTCCACTGAGGTGCATTACTTGCAGATAGCATATAGAGATGAGCATGACGGAGGCAGAAAGACAGGGAATCATGGAATTCCTGAGGCACCCAAAGGTAGAGATGAACTGAGCACTGTAAAGGTGAGCAGAGGCAGTGCTCGCCAGTACAGCAGCAAGTGACTAAGTACTTTGATTAGTGAAAAAGTCATCAGTTCCAGTTAGAAATCTTAAGTATGAGAATGCTGCATTTTATCCAAACAGCAGTTTAATTTAATGGCTTTGCATCTTTCTAAATATATACCTGCAATCACTTTCATGATTTCATTTCTTTCCGGACTCTTGCTTGCCAGCCGCTTGCTTTGGGAGCTATTCCATGTTCTTTACTGACCCCGTGTGGTTTCTTGCTCCAAGCAAAAATTACTTTCTCAAGCTCAACGTCATGTTCAATGGGAGTTTACTTACGATAAAAGCAGTAAGAGACTCCTAAATGACAACAGTTTAATATGCCATTCAGAGCTGCTTATTCTGGGGGGTTTATAACCTCATTCCCTATTCATCTCTTTGTTTAATGTTATTTATATTGCTATATAGAAGTTAAAACTGTATGAGGTACTTGAATAGATGATTTCCAAGTGATGCCCAAATCTGCCAGGCTCAAGACTAAGGTGACTATATCCCCTAGAAAATGTAGACAATGAAGTCAAATGACTATGAAAAAGAGTAAGATGAAAAGGGATTTATCTACCTTAAGAATAGGATTTTCAGATGATACTGCCCTGGACAGCGGATATCTGGCTGTGAGCAGTGAAATGAAGACAGGGAAGAGCTTCCAGGTTCCTATTTGGCACTGTCAACATGTTTAATCTGTTTAATAATCCTGTGGCCACCTGAGTCTACTTTGTTTTCTGCTTTTATTGCCAAACACGCCATCCCCTGCAACAGAGCACTGTCTAACGGGATGAAATGTAATTAAAGAGGCTGCCTAGGAATAATATTCAAGAATTCTTGCAGAAATACCCTGCAGTAGCAGTAATAAAAACCCCAGACAACAAATACGATGCTAGAACAGCAAATCCCTAAGTGACAGAAAGAGAATTGCTTTTATACATGCTCCCTCATCCTTTAATTATGCTCATTACTGCTAAGTTTCAGTAATACAAAAGCCTGGAGTGCAGAATTTGCTTTTAAGCATAAAACTCATTTTTATATAGCTAAAAAGAGTAAAATTCTGATATAAAATAATCATTAACAACTTCAGTTCTACCTGAACTTAGGGCAAATCTCGGCCACTGACCACCATAGCCATGAGAGGCTGCAGACCAGGACCAACTTTAAAGCCTTGGGATTCTGTATCCAGTGAAACTATTTAGCACACACAAGCACACACACAAAGCTGGAGGTGTTTTCTGCATGATGCTAAGAAAATAATCTGATTAAATATACGCGTTGCTGGTGGAACAAAAGCAGCAGAAATGCGTGATGCTTCCCAGCGTCTGGTAATTCCATAAACAAGAGTTGCTGCTCTTGGACCTCGTTCACAGCATTCTCACATTTGCTGTGATATTATAAAATCATGTTTGCACATTTTACTGGCTTCTAGCTCCAAAGGGTTACATTATCCTCAGGAACACAGCCTGCCTCCTTCATCGGCTCCTGCTGCTTCCTTTCAATTCCAATCCTGGGAACACAACCTCCCCAGACGTCCCACATAAACTGATTACTTACAAAATTATTTCCATGGACATGCTAACGTCAGTGGTGATTAGCCTGCAGAATGCAGCATGCAGTGACGCTTCTGAGCTCAGGTTAGTGATGCTAAGTCACTGCCAGCAGCAAGCAGAACAGGGATTGGTAATAAAGTAGAGAGAAAAGACAAGACAATAAAGAAGCAGCATTTTATCCCATGGAAGTCTCCTCTTCACATCAGAACAACTTTGTTTGTATTCACATTTATGATTTGCAAGGACTAAACATGAATTTTGCCTAGGAAGCAGCTGTAGGAAACTGGTCTGCTCTTTTCTTAGCAACACTTCTTTGGTGACAACACAAATTGATCAAGGATCCTGTTAGTTGTATCAGTGCACTTCAAGGTCTGTATTTTACAACAAAGCAATTAACACCATGTTAGACGTAACTTCACATTTATCCCAGAGGTCTTATTTCAAGGTAGAGTTGCTCTGGTTTAAAATACATTTACACAGAGAAACTTGTAACTTCCCTGCATTAAACAAGTTTCATCAATGAAACCACCATGTGATTTTACTTTCAAGTAAGAAGAGGTGTAAAGCATTGAGGGAAGGCAGTCCTCTTCTGTACAGGCTTTTCTGAGATAAAGATACCAGATAAAGAATCAAGGTTAAGAAAAAATAAGTTACTGATTGCATGGCAAATGATTACTGCATTAGGAAATACTTGGTAATGACAAATACTCTTTGTTTTTCTGGTTCAGCATTAAAGCATTTGGTAAAAACATGCATTAATGATATCAGCAAGTCTTCAATAATAAAATGTGTCTTTAAGTATTTTAAGCTTTGAGCTGTAAGATGCCAACTGCTTCAGGTCAACTTAAATTGCAAAACCACTATCTGAAGATGATAATGGGTTCAATTATCAGATTCTTGAAACAGTTTACATCACAGAACATCAAATGACATTTAAATTGTAATTAACCAATGTTTGAAACTGAAAGCAGGATTTGTGTCTGTAACCTTTTTGCCTTAATAAAGCAAGAGGATTTGTTAGAGATACATGCAACAAAAAGTTCACACATGTATGTTCTCGATGCTGATGTGGGTCTTTTATGGCACTAATTCAGTGATGTGGTGATTAGTGAAAGAAATAAAATGGGAAGTAAACAGGTGAATTGGTATTTCAGGTATCAGAGCAAATGTGTAATATCTTATGATATAGTATACTCCAACCAAGATACAGCAATATATGTAGTACATTATGTAGTATATTATATCATAAAACATGCATGCTATATTATGTAAATTTATCTATTGAAATATACAGTGAACATGAGCATTATCAGATTTGTGGAAGCTAAAGTTCCATGAGTGTCTTTCAAATTAAAGATGCACCATTTTCCATTTTCCATGAGAAGGTGGCATTCGTTTAACTAATTCCTTCAGAAGGAAAGGCATCTGCTGAGGTTTGAGTAAGAAAAATTTGGATCCAGGGAGTACTTTATGACATCATAGAAGATGCATATTTCATTTTTTTTTATCCATTAGAAGGGCTTAAACTGGGGAAATAACAAGTGCATCCTTAAAATAAGGTGAGAATGAAAGTGAATGTAATAAACTTCAAACACTGGTAAAGAGGATTGTGTGGAGAGGAAGGTGTGGGAGAACACCAAGGAGAAAACTACCTTGAAGAAGTGGATATTTACATGACAGTCCTGGAAGAGACAGGAAAGGGAGAAACACTGCTTGGTTAGTAAAGGGCTTGCAAAGCAAAACAGCAACAATTAGTCGCAGAAGTAAGCAAAATCAAAGCAGCCAGAATACAGAAATGGACACATCTGCTACACAGAAAAATCACAGAAAAGAAACCATGGTGTTAATACCCTGCCAGTACAGAGCATGATGCAGCCGTGGTCTGCACGCAGCTGCTCTTCAGTGTGAGCCTCAGTCGTGTACATACATAGGCTTCATGCATGGAACACCCCGCAATGTGTTAAACCACTGCAATGCATAAAGCTACATGTATGTGCAGATGTGTGCAGGCTGGGCTCTTCACAACGAACGAGCACTGCAGAAGCATGGCAGCATGAAAGTTAGGTTTGATTATTTTTGGCCTTGTTTTGAGATGCACATTTAACCTTTATGTATGGGATAAAGAAATCCCTGCTGTCAGTATGATCTTCTACATTCTTCACCTTAAATCACAACATACAGGCTGAGAAAAGCCTTACAGAAATCACAAGCTCATACAAACTGAGACCAGAGATGTATGTCATCTGGTTAGGAAATTTCAAGTTCTCTAGTTTCAGATATGATGAGTCAATGGGAAACCTCCAGATAAGTGCATATGGGAATTCCCCGTGCCAAACTATAGCATAGAACAGATGGAGTCATCTAACAGCATCTCTATGCTGCTGCAAAGTATTCTCTAATGATTAAATATGCACAATTTAAAAATAGGAATGAGTGCCATGGCCAAAAAAAGCAACTCTTCTTTTTCTCTCTCTATATACATAATGAGTGTGTCTCGATGTGCCAGTGATATTTTGGCTGGTCATGATTTCAGTGCAGCTTAGTGCCTGTTTCCTGAAAAGTAAATTGAATCCTTCTGTTTACAGTCTGAAGTGTCAGCAATGTTAGTTCTCTTTTCCATGTCACCTTTGCTGAACTGCCTGAAGTTACAGGGATTGCTTCCCAATGGGAATGCTATTGGTTAGATATGGACAAAAAACATCGCCAGCCTTCAAAGACTTAAAAGAAATGTTTTTCACAGCCCTTGCTAAGGCTTTAGGCAGAGACCTGAAGAACTTAACTCACACATTAACAAAACCACAAGCTCCTCTACAGGACTGAGTGAAAATGTCATATTTAATCAGAAAATTCACTGGGTTCTTCAGAGGCTACTGCAAGAGTCCCTAGAGTTGTTTGCCAAAGCCCTGGCTATGGACCTGCAGCACTTCCACCCAGCCTCCAGCTCAGAATTGAAACTGCTCTAGGATGTCACCGACACTGATTAAAGGAAGAAAGCGTCCTTCTGACCTGTAACTGTTGTGAATTACCAGAAAAATGCCAGATTAATGAGGAAGCGCTGACCTGCTCCTTTCTAACAAAGCCACCCAAAACTGCTTTAAAGGAAATAATACTACAGGGAGTGTCAAAGATCTAAGAAATGCAGCACCTGCAGAGAAATAAACTGAAATGATGCACTGATGTTCAAATGGAAGAGGTTTCTCTAGTGTTAGACTATTAACATTGAAAGACATCATAAAGCCTTAATTGTGCCTTGAAATCTGTGGCAATTTTCTAGTATCGTTTAACACTGGCTGTACTGCCATGAAGAGGGCCGTGATGGTGTAAATACATGTTAGCTTCCTATGTAACAGGCTGAGATAGGCTTTATATACAGACTGAGATAAGCTACTTGTTCAAGTCTGCATAAGGATTAACACACAAGTTTGGTTGAGCAAAATGCTGCCCTGCTTCTAGAAGAGTTTATAGCACATCAGAAGTGGAAACACCTACAGCTCCTGCCTCACTGGAGAAATTACAGGCATTTATAAGCACATTGTCCCTGTTCTTCTATTTACAATATTAAGGCATTTTAGAAGACATTTTCTTTCGGATCATAATAATAATTCTGTTTAGAAGCACTGAGATGTCAACCAAATGTCACCACTGACTGTACACTTCCAATTATCAGATGTATCTACCCTGTTCTGATCTCTGTTCCTTCTCTTGTTATGTTTTGATCCGTTTAGTCTGCAAAAGGAAAGTACAGGTCTAGCTTCTGTACAGCTTTCATGAGTGATTCCACTGCACAAAGCCTCTGAAAGCATAACCTGAAAACAGCCAAAGCAAGACTGCGGGGTGTCCAGAAGCACTGCAAAGCTGGGTCTTGTCACTTCTTGGCAGCAAAATTATCCCATCAGGCAACTGGGATAACCACAGAATGGTTTGGATTGGAAAGGACCTTTAAGTTCATCCAATTCCAACCCCTGCCACGGGCAGGGACATCTTCCACTAGAGCAGCTTGCTCCAAGCCCCTGTGTCCAACCTGGCCTTGAACACTGCCAGGGATGGGGCAGCCACGGCTTCTCTGGGCACCCTGTGCCAGTGCCTCAGCACCCTCACAGGGAAGAGCCTCTTCCTAATAATAAACAAGAGCTGCTCCTGGATGGTTTATCCAGTAGCTGAATCAATTCCAGAAAGGGGAGACTGGAAATAGAGTGTACAACCAGTATGGCCACTTTCGCTGGGTACCCTGCCTGGCCTGCCTACCACACACAGGCTCACAGATCTGGCCCATGATGTCAACTAATAGATGGAAATGGTACCTGATTTTACAAACACTCGCTGTTAATTATTTTGCAGAAAACATACTTATCAGAACAACAATGTCACTGTATTGTGGAGGGATTTCATTGTTATTCATTTAATTAAATGGAATGGTACAAAACTAACTGCCAGGAAAAGCCATGTGCACTTGATGTCTCAGCTGGAATCCTAATCAAGCTAGCCGCCGCAGCAGTAGGTGTGGATGGACGTGCCCAAGAAGCACTTCCTGAGGTCCACCAGAATGGTCCCATATGGATCCCGACAGTGGGGACAGCAGTCTGAGCCCTCCCACAGAAACTAAGGGAACGATTTTGTTCTACTGAAACCCACACAGAGAGCTACAGTAAAGGAAATAACCAGAGCAAAGGAACATGCCTGACATCTCTGGAGTGTGTACCAGGAGAACCATTACGTACCTTCCCCATGGAATGCCTTAAGATTATATGAACACTAACCTATTCCCTCATAACAACGTGCTTGGGTCACCTTAAATACTAAAGCTGACTGAGGCAATTCAGATTGCTCCTATCACTTAATATACCTTGTACTTGGTAAATGTATCCATATGTATGAATTGCAGCTACTCTGCTCTTTTTTCTAAGTAAAAAAAATCACTGCTATGGACCACAACAGCTGCTTTATTTGTAATAGCATTTTCCATGATGGTGATGTGGAAAGAAGGGGACAGACAGAATAATTAACCAGCCTACTTTTAAACCAGCGTCATTCTATTATTATTTTAAGGTGCTATTTAAGTACCAAGAAGTGCTTTGCTAAGCAGCAAATTACAGGAAACGGGGCTTGGCACACTAAAAAAAACCTTTTTACAACAGAAGTTTTAGAATTTGCACATTTCCCCAAATAAAATAACGAAATAATGCCCTAAATGGCAAAAATTACTGCTCAAATCAGAGCCGGGTATGAAAACTACAATAAGGTTGCATTGTGTCAATATTCTGCTTTTTTGACTGGCAAAATACTATAAGAAGTATATAACAAATAGTAGATATTGTGGTTAAAAGACTTGCTGGTTTGGGTCCACGGAGCCACCTGGGAATGTTGGGAGTTCCCATGGCAACCTCAGCACGGACAATTATGGAGCAGCTACAATTACTCTGAATATGCCTGTTGAGAGCAGAGTTTCGTTTTCAGATGGCCACAAATAATGCCATTCCGGAGAGAACAGTCACACCCAAAGGTTGAAACTAAGCGAAAAACAGTGACAGATTTTATCCTGCCTCCACTTCCTGCAGGAGTATATTTTTATCTCTAACTATTAATAATGATGTATCATCTATAAATCACTGAAGACAGATTTGATCGTACTGCTAAATGAGCAGATAATTGATTTGTAGGGCAAGACCCAGAAAACAGATTCATTACAATTTGCTGTAGAGAAAACAGGGCACTGCACCTACAGGTAATGTAACAACTTCGTATGGTAATACATAACAATACATAAAAATCTACTTAGTGAGGTCTCTCTGTGATTCCATTAATGAAACCACCGTCCTACTTAATCCTCCTATTTCTTTTCCAAATTCGGTCCCATTTGTTGGCTAGGGTCTCTAACTACTGGGTGCAAGTCAGGTGTAAATTCTTCATCTGGTTTGGAACTGTCAGGATGAGCCATGAGAAAACTTCTCATCACAAATAGCTTCTAGTGTTCAATTACAAATGTAATGAAGAGGATGTTTCAATCTCTTATTTATTTCTCGTTTATAATCCTGTATAGTTATTTGATGGTAGATTTACACAGAATAAATGACTTAAAGCATCTGTGCCACAAGATCCAGTCAGTAAAACAGCATATCAGTGAGATCTGTGTGACTAAAAAGCACATTTAAATAAGAAGTCTGGGTTGTTAAAGTGGAGCGAGAGGGATTCAATAGGGTTGTGTAAATAGTCTGAAATCAGTGAGAGCTTGAGGCCGAATCTTAAAGATGCCTATTGAACAGCAGACACAGGCAGGTACTTTAAATATGATTTAAATGAGAGGTAGCTAGCTCCTAAGTGCTCTTGGAAAGATACTAAGTAAGTTTCTAAACTTGAGTCAAAAGGGCGAAGTCAGGTTTAAGAATGCTTTAGATTTATCTACTTTAAGACCAGAAACTGGTTTCAGAAATTTCAGCCTGCCCAGGGCAGTGGTTGTGTCACCATCCCTGGAGGGATTGAAAAGACATGTAGATATCTTAGAGTACTTAAAGCCACCATCATGGCTTAGTGGTGGACTTGGCAGTGCTGGGTCAGTGGCTGGACTCTTAAAGGTCTTTACCAACCTAAGCAATTCTATGACTAAATCACAAATAGCAGCACGTTTCTCTGCACTATCTACTTGTTCCTTAGTACAGGGTACCTAAAATAAAATGACTATTTAAACCAAGATATATATGATAAGAAAAATAATGTAAGAGATGATCAGTCAGCACCACTTATGTGCCATACCAGAATAGCTAATAAGTTAAATACCACCATTCAGACATCTGTGATGATTATTTTTACAAGCTATAACAGTAATCCCCCTCAAAACCAAATATGAACATTACTTGGAAGTGCTACTTCCCCCTCTTCCTTCTTACAGTGGTGTATGTTGAGAGTATGGGGCTGAACCTAAACCCTTTTACCATGTAACACTGCATTATACTAGCTTCGGTATAGCTATAATCACGTATTCCCATAAATCATCACTAAGTTTTAGAACTGTTCATTATGCAACTCTAAATGATACTGCTGGAGACAGTGTGTTCACGGAAAACCTATTCCCTTTCCTTGATTAATTCAGACCATTAAAATAGCACCAACCAGGCTACCTGCAGGAGAGAGAAAGCTTCAAATACACAGTGCTGAAGCTGAACTAATTAGACTTTGAGACAGACTAATTAGTTCTGGGGCAGAGCTGACCCCATGTGAAGCTGCCATTTCCGGGACCCAGTCCGGCAGCTTTACACAATGCAACCTCTCATGATTTCTACTTTAGTTCACTGCAGGACACGGATAAACCCTGACTGTTTATTCTGCAACCAATGTATTTACAGTAGGCTTAAGAAAATAACCTAAGAGATTGTAAATTCCATATGCAAACATACTGCATATAATAGCTGACATTTTCAAATAGACCATTTTAGTGATTTGTCTTTGTGCTCTGTCCTGAAAAAAACAGATAGATTTCTATACTTGTATCACCAACATACACATATCCACCCATTCCCAGACTCTGTATCTATTGCACAGAGACATGGAAGAGGTGAAAAGAATTACTTTTGAAGCTATTCTTATTTTCGGGAGGATAAAAAGTAAAGATGATCTTGACTAGAAAATGACCTAGTGCAGCAAAATAAAATCACACTGGTCAGATCACAATTGTAAAGAAAAGAAAATGGAATGGAGATTCAAATACTTCTCAAATGTGTAACAAAAATCATAGTTCATGCTGCAGGCAAAAATATGGTAGCTGATCCAAATGTGTTCAGAAGAAATTGATGCACCTTTTCTTTTTCTTTCTTGAAAGTTGAACATGTGCCGTTTTTCCTCACTTTCTTGGGTTAACCCATCTTTTATAATAACAATGTAGAATTCTGCCTGATGGTGAACATAAGAAATGGCCATTTCAGGTTGAAAGGTCCAGGTGTGGTTGTTTATGCACAACAGGTACATTAATTACTTTCTGGATTAACAGTCATACCAGAGTTGTAAATGTTCAACCAGAAAAAAGGAAACAGTAGTGTAGACTGGAAGATTTCAAACTCAATGCTGTGTATGCAGCTGGGAAAAGCAGTCAAGTCAGATGAGCTGAATCCAGTACAGACATTAGCAACACACGTCGCTTCCCAAACCCTACCTTTCCTGTTGCTGGTTTTAATGGCCAGCAAGTGTTCTGCTGTAATACTGGCTATAGATGCCAGAAGAGGCAGTTGCTGGCTAAGTCTGTTCATTAAGAAGCAATTCCTTTGCGTGGCACAGTGAGACCATGCTTGTGACTACCAACCACTCCATTCTGCACCACAGGAGGCAGGAAGACTGCGGGAAGTATCGCTTTTCTCCAGTATTTCTTTTCTGTATGCAGCCAGAAATACTTCCAGCCCTTCAAAATTCCATACCCACATAAAAGCTGTCAGAATCTCACATCTACAAAGGTTTGGAGGCTCCAAATAATCAGTAATTAACACTGTAAATATTTTCTTTAGAAGAAAAAGCATTTAGTGTGAAACGTTCTAACTATTAAAATACTTTTGTTTCTGATAGTCTAATTTGTCAACTAATGGAGATAAGAGTGATAAGGGCTGGCAGATTTTGCAGCAAGGATTAAAAGACACTGAAATTATTACATATTCTTGACAAAAAAGGTTTTCAAATACCAACTTACAAGTGTCAGGGGAGAGAAGCTGAACCGTCAGAAAAAATGGTACAACTACAGAGTTACACCATGTGGTCCAACCTCCAAGAAACCCAAAGGCACATAGTGCTGTCACAGGCAACAGAAACAGCAGTACTCTAAAAGGTGTCTTGTAATACGTGGGTTTCTTTGGTAATAAAGTGAAAAGTGCATGTAATATACAGTTGCATCCATTTGTGTTTAATCCTCACCTCAAACTTCTGCCTGAGCTCTGCGTTTCCATCTTCATCAGCATCTGGAATTGGAACATTGTAATATTCACCTTCCTCTTGATTCAGCAGCTTGTACCTGGGGAACATTTGAGAAAACAACAGTGACTGCACAGTTTAAGTGCTGCTACATTTAACATGGGATTTAACTGCATTAAGTGTGGTTTGTATCAGTGTCACAGATATGTGAAGAACTGCTCTGAAAGATCTAAAGCAAACTCAGAAACAGAAGATATTTAACCGAACATTAGAACTTTAATCCAAAACTATCTGCCAAGGCAGTTTAAGGGACAAGGAAATTCCACCATCCTGGGGTATGATGGGAGACATCAACCTTGAAGAACCTTTATCTCCAGTGCTTCTATAGCCATAGACAATTGACAAAAGGTACTTTCTGAGTCGACGTGATGAGTTCTATGCCTATTTTACTTGTTAGGACATAAGATGGTACTTTACAAAATCAGTTCCCATGTACTTTGAATCTGCAGAGCTATATATAACATAATACACTTTGTAATGAATATATCATATTCATGATAAAAATAAAAGTCTTATCACAAGAGCATGTACACAGAACTGAGTGTACAGCAGAAGCTTCAAGAACACCACCAAAGAAAAGCATTCCTTTTCTTATCCTCCTTTGTTATAAATAATCTTTTTCTTAGGTTTAGTTGCGTTTTCAGTGAATTCATAACCTGAAATACAGCGCAAAACTCCAAACCAGATCGATTATGTTGAAGAAAAATACTGGAATGTGTTATATTCTCTCCTCTCTTTTCAGAACTCTCACCATCCACTGGCGGGCATTTTCATAAGCTCTGACACTCCAAACGAAAGGGATCCCATGAAATCGTTTCTGGTTGTTCGATCCCAGTCCCAGACCTCTACTGATAACCGTCGATCTTTGTCTGTAGGTTTTAATTTACTAAAAAGGACAGAAACAGAGGAATTTTCAATGCAACACTGAAATAAAAGAATCAGTCCATACACAGGTACTTCATTAGAAGGCGTTAAACTTACAATGTGAATGATTCATTCCAGTCTGGATTCAGAGTAGAACGGATGGTTTTTGTTTTTTGTTTGCTTTCATTCTTAGGATCTGGGATGAGCTTCAGTTTAACGTAAGGATCTGAAAGTCCATTTGGATCCATGGGAATTAGGTTTTTTGCTTCTCGCACTGTCAACATAAAACATAGCTGATTTGTATAGGACTACAGATCAACATAAAGAAAGCAGTTATATGTCAAACCAGATACTGAAACATGCTGGAAAATAAAACAAGCAAGACATGAAACCCATTTGTCAGACTTGGCATGGAAGAAGCTACTTGCTGTAAAGTAAGGCTGCACTTAGCACTATTTATAAGGACGGTAGAGAGAAATGACAGGAGAGAAGAGCAATTCACAAACAAGAAGCACCTTTCAGGCAGCTCTTTTCCTGCAATGGAATGACTGAATGCCCAAATCCATCACTATACATTTTTAAGTGCAGATCTTTTATTTCCTCATCAGTCTCAGGTTATTACAAATACAGGACTATCAGCCAAATACTATAAAGGTGATATAGCTAGATCATAATAGATGTCAGAAGACTGCTAATTTGCTACAATCCTTCCTTTGAAGGTATCTAACACTAAATGTCTCTCAGATTCCTGGTTCTTTCGTTGTCAGATGGAATCACTGTAAGCATTTTATCATGACAGAAACCAAAGTAAAAGTGCAGAGAAGACAAGTTTAAATTCAGCTTCACAAAAAATGCTAATGTAGCTTCTATTTTTGCAATGTCAAAAGAAGGCATGAAGTGAGTTAATATATCTCTTGTTGCTACTGATCCCCAAAGAGAGACAAGAATAGTCCGCAATCTGCAAGGGGTACCATTCCCTGCAAAGACACATCCCTGGAACAAGGCAGGGATGATGGGTTACAAAATGGCTCTTACTGGGGGCTTGGCAGCTTTGGGGTTTCAGCCTGGCTGGAGTTCCTGCAGCACTTGTGAGGTTCATTAAGCAGCAGCTCAGGAGTCACTGAAGGGGAGTTAAGTATCCCAGTGGATGAGCAAAGGCAGCTCTGCCATCCCACTCTTGCAGAGGACCAGCAGAACACCCCCATAACACTTTACTACAATAAGGTTTTATTCTGCATTAACAGATTGAGCCATCAGCTCCTGCTGAACCTCAGCAGAAGAGGTGAGTTTTCCTCATGCTGTGCAAACCCCATCCCACCCTGTTGTGCTGGGAGGAACTGCAGTGGTTGAGTTGGGGTGGGGAATTCAGTGATCACAACAGGGCATCTCAAAACCTACAGGGAGCAGCAATCCCCTGGGCTTGTTTTGGGCAGAAAGCAGCTTTCATTCAGGAATTCTTTTGTGAGATTCATAGTTCAAGATTAGAATTGTCCCTGGAAGGAAAATAACAAGAAGCTTTGAGGGTGACACGGTTCCCAGGGAAGGAAGGAACACCAGCATTTAGGAGTCACTAAACTTCTACTGACTGTGTCCTCAGCTACTGCTTTCACAGAGTCAACCTCAGGAGGGCTTCTTAAATTTACCTACTTAACTGAAGAGATCTGAAAGGAAATGTAGGAGAGATCAACCCTTAAGTTACCCAACAGCTCTTCATGGAAAACATTTCCTACAAAAGGTTGAGCCTTCGAGTCACTTAAGAACTCAATCACAGCAGATCTTCAGCAAAAGACAGTTATGGTTTGCCCAAGGCTCTCTCCTTCTTTCCCCCAGATTTAAATAGCATTTCATATTATGAATGAAAATTACAGACCTTCCCAGGATTTCAACCTGTTATTTCCCAGAATGGGGACTGAATGGCATCCAAGCAACACAGATATTTTATAGTCTCATCTTCTCTCATTATTTATAGAGTTAGAGGAGGGGACACTGATGACGTGTAAACCAGCTGAAGTATGTCTTTTCAAAGTGCCTTTTGTTCTCCCTTTAGAAATAAAGGCAGGGCTGTGGTGGACTGACAACTGTGCTACTAAAACAGAAAGAGATGGACAATGCATGTAAAGCACAGGACAGGTATGTATTCACACGCTGATGTAAGTAGCTCTAGGCTGACAGACTCCTTTTACATGATGGAAAGAGTGTTCCAGTACTGGCAAAGACTGTGTTCTTTCAAATGACATAACTGCTAAGTAATGATTTAGTGCAAGTCTACTGCTTAGCTGTTGTGTCATTTGATTCAAGCTGTAGAGGGAAAAAACTGGGGGAAAACAGCCACAGTTCAACCTGCTCCATTTAATAAGAGAGGATTTGATGTGGTGGAAGAAGTTGGAAGAGAGAAATACCAGATATAACCGGCACCTTATATCCAAAATGGCTGTAGACAGCAGGTAGAGCACAGGAATGAAGCTACTTGTTTGGAACACGCTAGTTTATTTGTCAAGATAATTCTCATGCAGAACAGATACCCTGATGTAGATTAATTATTGACATTAGATCCTGTTTGGAAAGGAATCACATTAACCTGAACCAACTGTTAATAATGATTAAGTTTCGTTTCTTAAGTCCGAGCTTTTAAAATGAGGCAGAAAATGTGTATGGGCTACAATCTTAAGATGAAATGTATTTCTTGTGTTACTCAAGTAATTGTACCAGATTTAAAAGAACAAAACAGAAACATGCATTTTTCTTGCAGTGTTTCATCTGCAGTTTTCCACAATCCCTGTATGAAGCTGACAGTGCTTTGCAATTGGGGAAATGATAGCTTTCAGCCTCCACTCTCATTTCACTCTGAGTTTGCCTTTTGAGGGTCTCTGCATGCAGAGGTCAGCTGGAAAACCTCTTCTGTTCTCAACCCACGCTAAAGAAACCTTCATCCAATATTAAAATTAAGCACACTGAAAGGGACTGTCAAATGCTTTTGAGGAATAACATCACGATTAAATAACTTGCTTCAGTTGAATATTTACAGTCCCAAAGGGATTAAGAACCATAAGTGAGTGAAGGATGAAGTGACAGCTTTCAATGCAAATTGCTCGCTCTCTCATCTTAGATGTGGTTTTATTTTGGGGTTTGGGGTTTTATTTTTGTCTTCTTGTACACAGCACTTGGGACTGCGCTGCCAGGTTTGGCACATGAACTATTGCTTCAAAATCCACCTTTGCATTTTTATTCTCTATTATTATTTCTATGCTGTAGTTGGGCATAAGTAAGGAGCAGAACGCTCCACGTGTTCTCCAGCTTCCCAGGAATACACACTAGTAAGTTTTCCATTAAAATTCCTTGAACAAAATTACTTAACATGGTGCCTTCATGGTTAAATTTTACCTGGAGATTCTCAGTGTGAAACCAAGCACAGTTCTGAGGAACTGGCTGGGTGGATGCAGAGCCCTTCTTGAGGCTGTGCTACGGATTGCTCCTGGAGAAAGCCAGCCCTGATTAGCCTTGATCCATGCCTAGAAACGAGCCCTGACAGCAGGAGGAGGTGGCAGCATGTGTAAGACTTCTTCTTTTCACAGCAAACACATAAAAGGAAAAAAAGCCCTCCAAATACCAGAAAAGAAGCTCAGAAATGAACTGGGAAGAAAGAAGCAACATCTACTAAATACAGGCTGCCAAAGAAGTCATTATCTCACTCCTTGTTTTAAACTATCTGGCCCATTTGCACTTTTGTCTGCATAATTAGTACCCTTAGACATCTTTCTTCAACTGACTTAGCACTTCTTTTCTTGAGGAAACAGCATGATGATACTTGTGCTAAAGAGTGCTTATAAAGAATTAGCATCTATGTGGTCCACCTCTTTAAGAGCACCCTATTTTTAACAGGATAGGTCAGGCTTCTCTAAGAGGACTGAGAAGGAGATTTCCCCTCCCCACCAAAGGCACTACTTCTTGTGTGTGGTTGAAACACAAAAAGTGAAATGAGAAATAAAGACATTTAAAGTGAAATGAAAAATAACACCAAGAAAATACATCAACTTACTGTGGCTGGATTCTGCTATAGCTGTAATGATGGCAAGCAATCTCATACTGCTCTATAATTACCAGTTAATTAAACTCAACACTGTGATAGAGATGTCACTCTAATTTGCAGATGGCTGAAGTGAGATACAGTTCAGCATCACTTGGAGTGTAACTTGGGTGAAACTTAAACTACTACTTGACAGTCTTCTGTCACAACTATTAAGTTATAACTATCCATGACTGAGCAAAGTAGCTGGCACAAGATACATTTCCCAACGTTTTGCTCGGATTACTCTTAAGAGGGACTGAGAAAGCATTCATGAAAATACATTAAAGAGAAGTATATGTTGAAGTTTTGAACACATCCAACATTGCCCAGGTTTTCCTTCTGAAAACCAGAAATATTTGTCAACTTGTCATAGAGAAAAATGTGCCATTTTCCTCCTCATGGCCAAAGAAGACATCATCATGATGGTGATTCAGCAGAAAATGTAGAATATTTGATGACTGTCCTATGGCTGTTCTTATGTATGTGCTACTTATATCCAGCAGTATCCGTCCAGAAGCCATGCCTGAAACTGGGACGCCCACTTTTCCAGGAATAGTCTAAAGCCATAAGCAAATACAGAGCTGGTTCTTAGGCATCCGTACTTTAAATAAATACCTAAATAAGACAGAGTGGGCTGGTAGAGAACAACTGACATTTTATGTACAGAGAAGAAATTCAGGCAGCATTTTGAGGAGCTCAGAGTGCAGATGACAAACCCAGAACTTCCTTCATGAGATCTTATAGGTTACAAGTTGCGAGCCCCATGCAGTTATGGGTTTATAACTTTTGGTGATACCAGCAAACAAATTTAGTCATGGGAATGAATAAATAAATGCTATTGTCCCTATAACAAAGCTGAACTATCAACAGCGTGAGTTTATTCAGTTCAAGTGAGTCACAGCTACCTTTCTCCTGAATTCCCAAATGTTGATAATAAACCAGTTTACTAATCACAGCAACCACTTCTTGCCAACCTTTAACTCCCTGCAGGCAACTTAGATGAGCAGAAATCTCTCAATCACACATGAATAGCTGCTTTTAAAAGATGATTCAAATCTCGAATGGTCTCTCTGGCAAACTATCCAGCAAAATGAAAGCAATGGAGATGGCTGTTAGCTCCAGTACATCCTGCAGTTCCTGCCTTCCCACAATAAAGCATTAGTAAATTATTCCATACGTCTTACTACTTAAGTAATTTGACACAGATT